TGCCCTCTTAGGGTTTGTCTAAAGCTTTGCAAGCCTTAGTGGGACAGAGTCCAGAGCCCTTGCAAGCATTCTTCACCCGCCTGCCCAACCCTCACCTTGGAATGGGAGACTGAACGGTTCAGGTTCTAGATCCACCTGCCTCAGGGGGTGTTGCCTCTGACTGCTTGGGAGGGGCGGGGGAAGGGCTGGACTCGGGGAGGGTTGTGTTCACTCATCTTCTCCACCACAGCTCCTGACTATGACAGAAGCCAGTGGCTGAATGAAAAATTCAAGCTGGGCCTGGACTTTCCCAACGTAGGTGCACAGGAGGGGCAGCTTTGGGGAAAGTGAAGGTGTCTCCATGTCCATGTCCTTTCCCAGCTCAGAGGTTTTGGGATCAGGTGCCTTGTTCTCCATTCCTCTCACCCCTGGCTCTCCACGCTGCCTCTCCATGATGTTCTGTGTCCCAGCTCACTCATCCATCTGACAGTATTCTTACTTAGGGCCGTGGGCAGGCACCGTGAGGCTGGGTCTCATGTCTGCCCTTGTCTAAGAGAAGGGGATACTAGGGAGCCTGGTGATGCAACTGAGCTCCCCGGTCGCCCATCCAGCTGCCCTACTTAATTGATGGGGCCATCAAGATCACCCAGAGCAACGCCATCCTGCGCTACATTGCCCGCAAGCACAACCTGTGTGAGTGGGGCGAGCTGCAGGGTGTGGGGGACAGTGGGCACCCCCTGGGCTTGTCTTGGGTGGGATGCTGAGGGCGAGTCTCTGTTGTGTGGGTGCAGGTGGGGAGACAGAAGAGGAGAAGATTCGTGTGGACATTTTGGAGAACCAGGCTATGGATACCCGCATGCAGATGGCCATGGTCTGCTACAGCCCTGACTTTGTGAGTCCCCTCCTAGCCCCCGGTTCCAGGGAGAGTTTGGATCAGGGGCCGGGACTCTTGCATTCTCATCTATACCAGACCGGTTTTCCACTTGAACTCCTCAGTGCTACTCATCCTCCAAGCTATTTCCTATCCTGCCACCAGAGTGACTCTGAAGCCCCCAGAGCATGTCAACTAAAACCACTAATTCGATTCCCACCAATCTTAGCATGGAGTCCAGACTACCCAGGTTGGAAATTCAGTTCCTAGACAGTAGTGCTTCCTTCCAGAATCCCCTCCATCTCTGACCTCTGACCTCTGCTGTGGGCCATCTCTCCCGGGTGGTTCACCCATCTGCCTGCTTCTGGATCACAGACTCAAACTATGAGGGAACCAAGTACAAGATGGGACAGTGTAGCGGCACCCTCCTATTCTGATTTCTGCTCTAGTGTTTTCCAAGTGATGTCTTGGATGTCTTGCTCACATTTCCAAGTGATGTCTTAACAGGGATCCCTGCATTTTCCTATTAGAAAGTTCAGGGTCAGCAGAGAGAACTTGTGCCTCTCCTTCCTTGTTTTCAATCTGAAACTCTCCTCGTTTTTTGAAAACTATTGAAATGTGCATTGCATTCTTCTGCCACCCGACTAGGTAGAACTGTTGACTTCTTTCCCTGAGCTCTTTTCATCTGTACTGTTGTTATTCTGCCTGACATCTCGGTGCAGAGCCTGCCGGGTACTGAGGGTACTCTTGGGTCTGACCCACAGGAGACTTGTTTGGAGATCAGTGAGACAGATTCGGGGACAGTCATAATCCTCTCTGCCTTCCTGTCACCTCAGATAGGGTGTGGTAGTCAGTAGGAGCCTAATCAAAGCTGATGTATTAATGGAGAGCTGGGCACTCAGTTCCAGTTGTGGGGAAGATGGCTGCTCACCTGTGGCCGGGGGGGTGACACACAGCCCTGGGGCGGCTGCCTCTGTGCCCGGGGTGCTGGTGTCTGAGGGTGGTGACGGCTGTTCTCTGTCTCAGGAGAAACTGAAGCCCCAGTACTTGGAGGGCCTCCCTGAAAAGATGAAGCTGTACTCACAGTTCCTGGGGACACGGCCCTGGTTTGCAGGGGACAAGGTAAAAGGGCAGGTGATAGGGAATGGGAGTTGTCATATTTCCTTTGTCCCAGAGCTTGCAGCTCACTTACCCTTGGCCTTCTGTAGATCACCTTTGCGGATTTCTGTGTTTACGATGTCCTTGAGAGGAACCAAATATTTGAGCCCAAGTGCCTGGACGCATTCCCCAACCTGAAGGACTTCATGGCCCGTTTTCAGGTGTGCCCTCATCCTCCTCCTCTTTCATATACCCTTTTTTTTTTCCTCCCTCATCGTGCTTTCCTCTTTCTTTTGCTAAAACGAAGAATAACTAGCATTTACTTATCACTGGCCTTATGCCAGGATGTGTGGCCATGCATCTTATATGCAGCATCTCTTTAGTCAAATAAGCTTCATAACATTTGCAGAACGTTGGTAGAATTGTCACTTCCATTTTACAGATAAGGAAACTGACAATGAGAGGGTAAGTCATTTGCTCAAGGTCCCAGAGCCAGTCAAGCCTGTGTGGGGCTCCCTGTCAGCCTCTGGGCTCCCCCTCTTTTGTGCCTAAAGGAAAAGCCCCAACCCATCTATCCTGGGTTTCAAAGCCCAGGACACTGTGGAAGTGGCAGAACATTTCAGGAGTGTGTATGCACCTGGCATTTGTAGACAAAGTCGGATTGAGGTCCCGTACCCAAGACACAGACAGTATTTACACCCAATCTCTCCAGTGCTTTGCAGCAATTGAATATCTATCACTGGAATTGCTGCGATCCCAGGGCTGTGGTTGGAGCTGGATTCCAGTGCACCTATGGGTGCCCATGCTGCAGGAGTTTATCTTCAAGTGTTATGCGGTGCAGGCACTTACTTTTCCTACCTTTCACTTGCTCACTCTTCCAGTTTCCCAGGTGTTCTATCTGGGAGATGGAGTAGAACACTTATTTTAACTCATATTCACTGATACTCTCCTCTGTATGAGGCACTGTGTCAGTCTCAGAGGTAGATGCAATGCTAATCGCACCACCAGGAGCTGAGAACCCCAGGCACACATGCAGTTAGAGAGTTGCAGGCATACCTACCTCTGAGGTGCGTGGTGGAACCTGGCTCCTGGGAGCAGAGCCCGTACCTCTCACCTCATGGCTAGTCATCTGTCACCCGTACTCAAATTATTTCAGAGCAACAAATCATACTTTAGTACAGATTTGGGAATTTGAGGCATTAGTCCCTCAGGTTTTTATTCAACCAGGAATCTGTTTACCTTTTCCCTCCACTCAAGAGATCTGCTGTCTCAGCTGGTTCTCATCAGCACTGGTTCTGGTCCAGGCCTAGCGGCCTTGGGGATTATGCAAGAAGTTGTGGGAGGGGACAGGGAGGAGGAGAGCTGAGAGCTGCAGCCTGTGGTTTGCCAGGGCTTGGCCTCTGGGCACTTTGCAGCCCTGGATCTCCTTGAACCTGTAGAAATTATCTGGGCACTTATCCTGGGAGGATGGTGCACAGCACACCTGGGTGCCATGTGGCCTGGTCGGCTGTACCAGGGCTAGAGGTCAGGTAGGTGGGACACAGTGAGATTAGGCTCAGGTACCGGGTGGAGAGGTGTGTACTTTCTGCTTACGGGGAATGACTCAGCCTGGCACAGTTTTCCTTTTGCTGGTCCACGGCCACTATCCACTTTCATCCAGGTTTGCTGAGTCACTGGGTGAGATCATGTTTGAGCCCCTTTGTCCTGCTAGAGGTCCCTGCTCTGTGTGCAAACCCAGGCAAGCCAAGAGCCTCTCTGTGAAAAAGGAGAATGTTTGTGCAGACAGCATGTGAGAGGGCCTCATTTGGGGGAGGGGGAGAAGAGGGGCATTTGGCAGAAGGAGCCCAGAACTGGAGAGAGCCAGAGCCAAGCGCTCTCCAACCCTGCCCCACTTACTAGCTGTGTGTGTCTGAGGAAGTTGCTCAACCTCTGTGTACCTCAGTTTCCCTTCTGCTAAATAGTGATAGCAGAACGGATCCTTCGGGGTAGCTGGGTGGATTTCCTAAGCCTCCATTGTACTGTGTAGTGGACACAGAGCAGCCAGCACAGTGTGGGGCCTCCATAAGTGCTAGTGCTTATGCAGGCACGCCGTGGGTTAGATTGGAAGAGTGCACGTAGCAGAGCTGGGGACCCTAAGAGGCCGGGTGATGCTCCTGCACTCAGGCCCAGGTGGAAAGGCTGTCGTGAGGGCCCTGAGTGCTGTGTCTGCAGTGGGGCCGCTGCAGCCCTCGTGGGCAGCAGACGCTGAGCTCTGGCCTCATTTTTCCCCCTCTCAGGGCCTGAAGAAGATCTCTGCCTACATGAAGTCTGGCCGCTACCTCCCAACGCCTGTGTACACAAAGGTGGCCTTCTGGGGCAACAAGTAGGGCCTCGTAAGGCCCAGAGATGGCAGTGAGGAGCCCGTGCCCAGCCTGCTTCCTTGGGCTCTGCAGAGCAGTGGACCGTCTGCACCCCAAGTTGCAGCCTTCTCGTCGCTCTGCCCTTTTCATTCCCTTCTCCTCTCCAAGGCCTCATTGGCGCTTTTTACTTCCCCAACCCCTGTCCCGTCCAGGCCCTTTGAAGCGTCAGCGTCCCACTTTCCTTCAGCAAGGTCCCCTGCCACCTTTCCCCTTCCCTGCACTAAGGCCACCCCGACTTCCTTCCTGCTGGCAGTTGTGTCTGTGAAGCGGAGCCCCGAGCTGTCCCAGCAGGGCCCAAGGATCAGCTTTGCCTGCTGTGGCGGCCCTGGTCCCCAGCGTGGTCCCTGCATGAGGCCTACCTGATCCCTAGTAAAGCCCAAACACATTTGCTCTGTGCCTTGTCTCATTTCATCCTCACTACTAGACTATCCAACTGTGAAGGTCCTGACTGGTGACCCTGGCAGTGGCTGGGATCACAGGCATTCTGGAGGGTGTGGTGAGGTGCTTGAGACTGCTTGCTTCCATTTCTGATGCCCTTGGAGCAGGAAGCCCCGTGAAGCTGTCTATGGAAAGGATACGTCGGGACACTGGGTCTCGTTCATTCACCCAGCATTGCTGCCCGTGGTCACGCAGAGCCGAGTGTCTCAGGGAGTAGGGACCCAGAGGTGCGAAATCCCCAGCAGAGAGAAACAGGATCCCTTTTGCCTTCCACACTGTACGCGTCCATCACATCTGCCAGGTCTCCAGGACACACTCTCCACTGTCCTTCGCCGGTGCTCAGTCTCGCTGCACCGCTGTGATGAGGACCATGTTGCTGGGTTTACTCTGGTTACTCTCATGTCGCTGGGGACCTATGAGATGACTGTCTTCCGTCCTTGTATAAGTGAGAGTGTCTGTATCTAGGTACACACTGACTTAATAGTCTGGCTGGGTATGGAATTCTGGAATGGAGACCTCAGAATTCTGATAGATTTACCTTCTGCTTTCTAGAACTGAGCATTTCTGCTGAGAGGGTGGATGCCCGTCTGACTGTATCCCTTTGCTTTTTCACCTAAGAAGCTTTTTTTCCTTTTCTTTTACTTTTTCTTTTTTTTTGAGACAGAGTCTCACTTTGTTGCCCGGGCTAGAGTGCCATGGTGTTAGCCTAGCTCACAGCAACCTAGAAGCTTTTCCCTCTCTCTCTCTCTTTTTTTTTTTTGGTCATCCTAAGGTGTCTACGTCCAAAGCCTATGTGTGCATCTATAGGCTGATCTTTTCCTGCCTCACACCCTTCCAGGAACATCTAAGCATGGGCTGGCTGCAGCCTGATTCAACAGTCACATTTCTTCATGTGCATTGCGTCCTCCTGGAGTAATTCAACTCCTGGTAGAGTGAGCTGCTCCAGAGGAAGGTCCTCGGAGCTCAGCCGTCCCCTAACTGTTACCGGAAATAAATAGTTGCTGATTTTGTGGGGCAGGTATTCAGGTAAGGCTCAGCTGGGAGAAATGATCGCAAATCAATAAAAGTCTCTTATATCCCAGCAGATGCCAGTGGCACTTACCAGTTGTGATAATTAAAAAGTCTCCAGACAAATTTAAATGTCCCGAGAGGCAAAATCACCTTCAGTTGAAAACCACCGGTGTCGTGGTTAGAGACTAGTGTTTGAAAACAAAATAAAATAGGATAACATAAAAAAAAATAATGTAACTTATGTAGTTAAAGTAAGTTTTCTTTGATGAAACTTTTAGTTAATATAGTATGTGTGTATGTGTGTGTGTCCTGGATCATGTGATAAATATTTTTTTTTAACTTTTGATAGGAGATTTTGAGAAAATTGGGAAAAAGAGTACAAGGAACTCCGATATACCCCTGTTGTTAACTTTTCCACATTGGCTTTACCCTCCCTCTCCCTTTTTCCCCCTGCCCCCACCCCTAGCATTCTGTCTGTCTGTCTCTCCTCCTGTGCTGTCTGTATACCCAACACCCATTATAACAGAACAACGTGTTCTTTTCTCCCACGCCATTCCTGATGTTTGGCTTGGGCTCATAAGTGATAGTAATTTGTAATCATTCTAGCCCGTGTTGTCCTTCCTGGATTATGTCCTTTATTCCATACTTGTCTGTAGTGTAGGACAATTTATGTAATACATTCCTTTTTGAAATTTTTTTTTTTTTGAGACAGAGTCTTACTCTGTTGCCGGGCTAGAGTGCTGTGGCATCAGCCTAGCTCACAGCAACCTCAAACTCCTGGGCTCAAGCAATCTCTTGCCTCAGCCACCCGAGTCGCTGGGACTACAGGCATGCACCACCATGCCCGGCTAATTTTTTCTATGTATTTTTAGTTGGCCAATTAATTTCTTTCTATTTTTAGTAGAGACAGGGTTTTGCTCTTACTCAGTCTGGTTTCAGACTCCTGACCTTGAGTGATCCTCCTGGCTCGGCCTCCCAGAGTACTAGGATTATCTTTTTGAAAATTTTGAAAAATTATCTAGCAAATTCCTGAGGACCAAATGTCCTTTTGTGTTATTATTTTTCTTTATTATGCTATTATTACTTCTTTCAGAATCTTTATCTTTTTTGTCAGCCTGATTTTATGTTTATTTTTTATTACGTTTTAATATATTTTGGTTTATTCCACTGGTTGTAATGCTAATTTACATGTAACTGACATTTTCTCTATTTTTAGAAATCACTTGTGCTGATTTTAAGTCTTTCGTGGGACTGATTTTTATTACCAGATACCTTTAGTTTTGTTTTTGCTGTTGTAGTAATGTTCCATCAGTTGCTAACTGATTTTTAGAGAAGCAACTATTGCTTTCACAAGCATATTGATGAAAGTTTCAGTATTTTTCTTCTTAGTATTATTGCTTGTTTCTGATATTTTTTATCTTGAACTTTGTGCCCATTCTACCTTCTTGAAACCCTAGATTCTTTTGCCATGTTCTTAATACCATCAGCTTGCAGAAAAAGTTTTTTTCTCAATCCCAATTTGGTAGTATCTTATAGAAGGTGCTTTTGATTTTCTTATTTTCACATTTAAGAAAATATTCTTTATATTTTAACTTTCCTAAGTTTACACAGATAATATTTAAGAGACTTAAAAATTTTCCATGAAGTAGGACACATTTTAATTTGTCTGTTGGCATTTGTTTTTGATAAGTTGTCTTAATTTGCCTTGAGAGTGTTAGGGTGTTAGCGGAGGGGCTGGAAGGAAGAGTGGAATCCAGTCCAGAGGTCCCATTACAGGCCTTTGGCCAAATGTGACCCAATATATTTTGATTGTCCTGCACAGTATCCTTTTAAAAAGTAGACCTTGTCCACATTTCACAGTCGTGAAAGAGCACACATAAATCCAGAAGATGTGGCAACACTGGGGTTGAGTTTCTGTGTGGTCACAACTGGCTACAGTCCCTGCTGCAGACCCTCTTCCAGGTTCCCTCCTCCCTGCTGCTCCCGGCTGCCTGGCGCAGACCTACTTCATCCAGCCAAGATGATCCTCTTGGCCGCTGTGGAGCCTGCTTTTGAGAGCTCATTGGTCTAGTCCTTCCCCTCCTGCAGAGTCCTGCTCCTGCTGAAGAAGCCGCCTGTACCCTGGGCCCATCTTCCCAGCTCCTCAGAGTCCTGGCCCGGGCATGGATTGCTCCTTTCCACTGCACGCAACCTCTCTCCCCTCCACTGCCTCTCAGTGTAAAAACACAGTAAGATGTGTCCTGTATTTTCAAAATCTCTCCTCTGCAGTTCCCACCTGACTTCTAGTCTTAGGTAGCCAAAATACAATCTTCTTGGTTTGCCTTATTCAGAGTGCCTAGGATATGGTAGGATCTCAACAACTGTTTTTTCAATAAACAAATGACTAAATGGATGAATACTAATGTAACCATATCTGTTCTAAGTCTTTCAAATGTATTATTCTCATTGGTGTTAGCCTTCTTAAAAAATAATTTTCTCAATTGGAACCGGAAAATTTATCTTTCTTAGATGAAGATGTATAAATCTCAGAATGCCAAACCCTTAATGTATGATGAGAACTGTATCTATTCCCACAGCCAGGCACTTGTGTGTGTGCATGGTGCTACTGCCTCCCTGCAGGAAATCCTGCACGGGAATTCACTTTGACTCCAGAGGCTGCTTCCTGAGCCTGGATGCACACTGGGTACCTGAGCCGGGAGTACTGCCCAGGTCTGAATGAGCGGGGAGTGTATGCCACAGGGCTGCGTGTTGCCAGCGTCAGCGACATAGTCCCAAGCACCCTAAAGTAGCAAAGACCTAAGGACCATCTGGCCTCTATGACCTGACAGGGCTGTGATGAAGTCTGCCTGCCCTCCTCAACTCCTACCCCACACTATCCTGGTGGTTTGAAGCCTTTACTGATATACTGTGTTCATCCCCTGCAATCCTGATAAAGTGTTAGCTAATTTCAAAATCAACCATAACTTCTCTGTAGTGGAACAACCTTGCCTTTTAACTTATAAATCCATTTCTTTTTTAAGGTCTACTGATCTGTTTTTATATGTGCATTTTGTCTTGTAATATCCTTTAAACAAACCAAAATCAATGACAGGCCAATTTATTGCGCATCTATTAGTTTTGAAATAGTGTCGTGCCTTCAAAGAAGAAACTTGGCAGGTAGGACATTGTGGAGGTTGTACCACAGATCACAGTGTGACTTCAAAGGCCATTTGAGCTACCCTGTCAAACCCTAGATCACATGGGTCAGGGGCTAGGGCCAGGGCTAGAATTTGTGGACCTGGACAGCTGAGGGTCTGCCCAGCCTGCCTGTGGTCCCCTGGCTCTACTCTGGCCATCATCCTCTGACCTCCCTGCTCAGCAGGACAGAAGTCTGGCCTCTCTGAGGACATGTTCTTCCACCCTCCATCACATTCCCTTTGTGACCATTGCACTAATGGTCAGTGTCCTGGTCAATGTGAGGTCCACCTAGCTGACTGGCAGGACATTTCTTGTGAGGGAGAAGCTTGGAGGAGAACCTCAGATACTCCACCTACTTGTAGGGTCTGGTTTTTGAATTTAAATTAATGAATTGTGCCAAAATACTAATTATCTAATTTACATATCTTAGCCAGATGAAAGAAGGGCTCAGCTCACAATCATTCCTAAAAGAAAACAGGTCACACTTTCTTCACTGTGGCCCTTTGGGTGGCTTTGGAGGAGTATTAGGCCTCGGATAGCTGTCAGATTGGACAAAATCCTAGTTTTCCAGTGATAGACTATGAATTAAACTCTCGGGTTGGGGACACCTCTTTATGGCCTACCCCGACACCCTGAGCTTCCCAGAGCCAGCAGAAACCTGGCAGCCAAGAGGCTGAGCAACCCCAGGAGAGCAGAAGGGAGAAAAGCTTTGCTGTTTCAAGATCTGGCTTTTCTCCCCGGTGCACTGCCAATGCCCTCCCGCCTGGCAGAGGTCTGGATAGGGACGTGCGGGGCCGCCGGGCAGGACTGGGGAAGCAGGGTTGCCTGTCCACCGATTTGGCTTCTGGGCCGCCAGAGCTGGCCGCCCGAACCCTCGGGCCTGGAGGCCACAGCGGATGGAACTTGCAGCCAATGGGGCCCCGGGACAGCGCTTCCGCCACAAGGGGGGCGGGTGCCGGGGAGGGCGGGCCAGCCCCGCCTTTCGCCGCCCTGAATCTCATAAGGTCGCAGCCCAGCCCCGCTGAGGCCCGTCCACCGAGTCCACGGCCACCTGCACCATGCCAATGACGCTGGGTTACTGGGAACTCCGCGGGGTGAGCGAGCGGCCGCCGGGCGGTGGGGCCGCGGCGCGGGGCCGGGAAGGGCTGAGCAGCGGGGCGCCGGCTCTGGGGGTGGTCGCTCTTCAGGGCGCGCTGGGGCCGCTGCCTGTCCCTCTCGCTAGGGCCTGCGCGTGCCCGTGGGGGACGGGGGCGTGTAGGTGTAGGGTGGGGGCCGCCGTGGGGTGCATAAAGTCCGGAATCGGGGTCCCTCCATGTCTGACCTGGGCCCTGTCTCGCAGCTGGCTCACGCCATCCGCCTGCTCCTGGAATACACAGACTCGAGCTATGAGGAAAAGACATACACGATGGGGGACGGTAATGGCACCCTTTGTCGGGACCTCTGCCCAACTCCGGCTGAGCTGGTACCAGGCGGCCCATGCCGTGGCCACCTGTGGCTCCCTGTGCAGCCTCCACCTGCTGGAGCTGCAGCCTGGCCTTCCCTGAAGCGCTTTGAGGGGGCGGTCGGGCCTCACAGCGGGGCGCTGGGAGGGATTGCTGGGGGAGGTGTAGGTAGTTGGCTGGGTGCCCCTTAGGATTTGCCTAAAGCTTTGCAAGCCTTAGTGGGACAGAGTCCAGAGCCCTTGCAAGCATTCTTCACCCGCCAGCCTCTCTTCCTCCCAAAGGAAGACTGAATGGTTCAGGTTCTAGATCCACCTGCCTCAGGGGGTGTTGCCTCTGACTGCTCGGGAGGGGGGGGGAGGGCTGGACTCCGAGGAGGGTTGTGTTCACTCATCTTCTCCACCACAGCTCCTGACTATGACAGAAGCCAGTGGCTGAATGAAAAATTCAAGCTGGGCCTGGACTTTCCCAATGTAGGTGCACAGGAGGGGCGGCTTTGGGGAAAGTGAAGGTGTCTCCATGTCCATGTCCTTTCCCAGCTCAGAGGTTTTGGGATCAGGTGCCTTGTTCTCCATTCCTCTCACCCCTGGCTCTCCACGCTGCCCTCCATGATGTTCTTTTTTTTTTTTTTTTTTTTTTTTTTTTTTTTTTTTTTCTTTTTACCTCCATGATGTTCTGTGTCCCAGCTCACTCATCCATCTGACAGTATTCTTACTTAGGGCCGTGGGCAGGCACCGTGGGGCTGGGTCTCATGTCTGCCCTTGCCTAAGAGAAGGGGATACTGGGGAGCCTGGTGATGCAACTGAGCTCCCCGGTCGCCCATCCAGCTGCCCTACTTAATCGATGGGGCCATCAAGATCACCCAGAGCAACGCCATCCTGCGCTACATTGCCCGCAAGCACAACCTGTGTGAGTGGGGCGAGCTGCAGGGTGTGGGGGACAGTGGGCACCCCCTGGGCTTGTCTTGGGTGGGATGCTGAGGGCGAGTCTCTGTTGTGTGGGTGTCAGGTGGGGAGACAGAAGAGGAGAAGATTCGTGTGGACATTTTGGAGAACCAGGCTATGGATACCCGCATGCAGATGGCCACGGTCTGCTACAGCCCTGACTTTGTGAGTCCCCTCCTAGCCCCCGGTTCCAGGGAGAGTTTGGATCAGAGGCCGGGACTCTTGCATTCTCATCTATACCAGACCGGTTTTCCACTTGAACTCCTCAGTGCTACTCATCCTCCAAGCTATTTCCTATCCTGCCACCAGAGTGACTCTGAAGCCCCCAGAGCATGTCAACTAAAACCACTAATTCGATTCCCACCAATCTTAGCATGGAGTCCAGACTACCCAGGTTGGAAATTCAGTTCCTAGACAGTAGTGCTTCCTTCCTGAATCCCCTCCATCTCTGACCTCTGACCTCTGCTGTGGGCCATCTCTCCCGGGTGGTTCACCCATCTGCCTGCTTCTGGATCACAGCCTCAAACTATGAGGGAAACAAGTACAAGATGGGACAGTGTAGCGGCACCCTCCTATTCCGATTTCTACTCTAGTGTTTTCCAAGTTATGTCTTGGCAGTCTCAGGGATCCCCGCATTTTCCTATTAGAAAGTTCAGGGTCAGCAGAGAGAACTTATGGCTCTCCTTCCTTGTTTTCAATCTGAAACTCTCCTCATTGTTTGAAAACTACGGAAATGTGCATTGCATTCTTCTGCCATGGACTAGGTAGAACTGTTGACTTCTTTCCCTGAGCTCTTTTCATTCTTTACTGTTGTCATTCTGCCTGACATCTCAGCGCAGAGCGTGCTGGGTGCTCAGGGTGCTCCTGGTATGACCCACAGGAGGTTTGCTTGGAGATCGGTGGTGACAGTTTCAGGGACAGTCTTAATCCTCTCTGTCTTCCCATCACCTCAGGTAGTGTGTGGTAGTCAGTAGGAGCCTAATCAAAGCTGATGTATTAATGGAGGGCTGGGCACTGACCCAGTTCCAGTTGTGGGGAAGGTGGCTGCTCACCTATGGCCAGGGGGGCCACGCACCTCCCTGGGTAGGCTGCCTGTGTTCTCGGGTGCTGGTGTCTGATGGTGGTGACGGCTGTTCTCTGTCTCAGGAGAAACTGAAGCCCGAGTTCTTAGAGGGCCTCCCTGAAAAGATGAAGCTGTACTCACAGTTCCTGGGGACACGGCCCTGGTTTGCAGGGGACAAGGTAAAGGCCTGAGCAATGGGGAATGAGAATTGTCATACTTCCACTGTTCTCGGGTGTCCAACGCACTCACCCTTGGCCTTCTGCAGATCACCTTTGTGGATTTCCTCGCTTATGATGTCCTTGATATGCACCGTATTATGGAGCCCAAGTGCCTGGACGCGTTCCCCAACCTGAAGGACTTCATGGCCCGTTTTGAGGTGATGCCCCCATCCTCCTCCTCTTCGGTGTCCCTTATTCCTTTGCCCTCCTTTGTGATGCTTTCCTACTCCTGGAGCTAAAGAAAGAATAACCAGCATTTATTGAGCCTGGGCTTCATGCCAAGACCTGTGCTCAGCATATTACATCCATGGAGTCAAATTTAAACATTGTAACATTCCCACAAGGCCGTTAGAATTATCACTTTTATTTTACAGATAAGGAAACTGACAATGAGAGGGTAAGTCATTTGCTCAAGGTCCCAGAGCCAGGCAAGGCTGTGCAGGGCTCCCTGTCAGCCTCTGGCTTCTATGGGCAGCAGTCAGGGCTCCCCCTCTTTTGTGCCAAAAGGAAAAGCCCCAGGCCCTGTCTACCCTGGGTGTCACGGCCCAGGACACTGTGGGAACGGCAGAACATCTCAGGAGTGCGTATGTAGCTGGCATTTGTAGGACTGACACAAGGTCGGATTGAGGTCCCGTACCCAAGACACAGACAGTATTTTTACCTCGTCTCCAGAAATCTTTGCTCCCATTGGACCTTCATCTGGGGAATACTGAGATCCCAGGGCTGTCTTGGTGCTGGGTTGAGTGCATATGTGGGTGCCCCTGTCGAAGGCGTTTATCTCGAAGTGTCCTCTCTCCAGTATTCCAAGAGCTCTATTGTGAGAAGGGAGAGTACTGGACCCTGTTTACTGGTCTCAAGGCAGCGTGCCAGGCACAGTGGAGATGCAGAGATGACCAGTCCAATCTGGAAGCGAGTGCAGTGGGAGGACTGCTGGCACTGCATACTGTCAGCTGCGAGTTGTACCAACCGGGTCACATCAGAGCAAATCATCTGTTACCTGTAGTCAACTTGTTTGAGAGCAACAAATCCTACTTTAGTACAGATTAGGGGATTGAGTCCCACAGGTTTTTCAGCACAGAATATGTTTTCCTTTTCCCTCCACTCAAGAGCTGATGTCTCAGCTGGTTCTCATCAGTGCTGGTTCCGGTCCAAGCCGAGTGGCCTTGGGGATTATGCAACAGTTAGTGGGAGGGGACGGGGCGGAGGAGAACTGAGAGCTGCAGCCTGTGGCCTGCCAGGGCCTGGCTGTTTGTAACATGCAGCCCTGGATCTCCTCGAATCTTTAGAAATTATCTGGGCACTTTATTCTGGGAGATTGGGAGACAGCACACCTGGGTGCTATGCGGCCTGGTCGGCTGTACCAGGGCTAGAGGCGAGGTAGGTTGGGACACAGTGAGATTGGGCTCAGGTAGCAAGTGGACAAGTGTCTGTGTTCCGTTTAGATGTAATGATTCAGCCTGGCGCGGTTTTCCTTTTGCTGGTCCACGGCCCCTATCCACTTTCATCCAGGTTTGCTGAGTCACTGGGTGAGATCTGGGCTGCCCCGCAGGCTGCGCAGGCATGTTTGAGCCCCTTTGTCCTGCTAGAGGTCCCTGCTCTGTGTGCAAACCCAGGCAAGCCAAGAGCCTCCCTGTGAAAAAGGAGAATGTTTGTGCAGATAGGGTGTGACAGGACCTCCTCTGGGAGAGTGGGAGGAGGGGAATTTGGCAGAAGGCCCACAACTGGAACAAGGAAGAGCTAGGCTATGTTCAATGTTGCTGCACTTACTGGCTGTGTACCTGTGAAGAGGTGCTGAACCTCTGTGCACCTTCTGGTGAATGGTGATAGTAGAGCCAGTCTTGTAGGGTAGCTGGGTGGATTTCCTAAGCCTACGGTGTACTGTGTAGTGGACACAGAGCAGCCAGCACAGTGTGGGGCCTCCATAAGTGCTAGCGCTTATGCAGGCACGCCGTGAGTTAGATTGGAAGAGTGCACGTAGCAGAGCTGGGGACCCTAAGAGGCCAGGTGATGCTCCCGCACTCAGGCCCAGGTGGAAAGGCTGTCGTGAGGGCCCTGAGTGCTGTGTCTGCAGTAGGGCCGCTGCAGCCCTCGTGGGCAGCAGACGCTGAGCTCTGGCCTCATTTTTCCCCCTCTCAGGGCCTGAAGAAGATCTCTGCCTACTTGAAGACTGGCCGCTTCCTCCGAGGCCCTCTGTTTGGAAAGATGGCCAAGTGGGGCAACAAATAGTGCTCTGTGATGCCAGGAGATGGGAGATGGAGCCAGAGCCGTGCCTGCTGCCGCGGCCCTGGAGAACAGCCAGATTAGACTCCCTAAGCCACCTGCACCGGCCTTTTTGTTCCTTTATTTTTCTTTCCACTTGTTTCTCCTCCCCAGGGACTTATTGGTACCTTTTCTTCTAACCTGACCTGGCCCCTTACAGGCTCTTTACAGCTTCACCTCCACACTTTCCTTCCTCAAAGTCCCCCTGCTAACGTCGCCTGTCCCTGTCCTAACGCCAAGCTGACCATCTTCCTCATCACTGCTTGTCCCTGCTCTGAGAAGCCAGAACGGACCCCAAGATCCCCAGCACTGCCCTGAAAGACCAGCACTGCCCGGTGTGCGGGCCCTGCTCCCCAGCTTGATTCCCGTCTCAGCCCTGTCTAATGCCCAATAAAGCGTGAACGTTCCTGCTGCGTCTTCTCTTACTCCCCTCCGCGCCCTGGACACGGGACTGACTGTGTGCGAGTTACGGGTTGGGTTCTTTTGTGTTCTGTTGTCCACAGCAAGAGCTGGGTGGATGGGGATGTGTGTGTGTGTGTGTGTGTGTGTGTGTGTGTGTGTGTGTGTGTGGTGTGTGTGTGTGTGTGTGGATGGTGAGGCAGGTTCATAAGGTTCCTTGGTCATTTCTGTCCCTTATCGGTATCCCTCTGTTCCTCACCATGGGGATTTTTACAGAGGGGCGCTCCTTCTGTGCCTGGATTCCACCTGCATTCAGCGTCTGGAATGCCTCCTCTGGGCCAGGTAGAACTGTGTGTTGTGGTTCAGAGAGGTGCTCGGCTCCCGGGGTAAGGGCTGAGCAGTCCCCAGGTGGAGTATCTACTCCCCCTCTCCCGAAAGCTCTCCCCGATCTATACATCTCTCCTCTCAATGAAATATATCCCACTGTGTTGTATTAAAAAGTTTTTCTTGTACTTGTTTTTCACCCCAACTCAATCATAAATTCATTGAAGAGAGAATCCATATCTTACTGGACTTTTTAATCCCTGATATCTATCAGGGTGCCTGACATACAGTAAATGTTCCATAAGTTTGGAAATTTGAAAGAATTCTCTCTAGGGAAGACTCTGCCAACATTTACAGTCACTATTGGGATTTAGAGCTCTGGATATAGTTATCTTAACTAGAGAAGATGTAGAATAACATTCTGAAGATTTGGGGTGTACAGGTCTTGGAAATGAGCCAGTAGCTCTCTCTAACATAAGCGTTTAGTAGGTGCTGGCTGTCCTTTGAATAGCTCCACCTGAGACGGGAAAGCCTAGTTTTCCGGGCCGCAGTGTAGCAATCTGTGTGGTCAGAAGGAGGTGTGGGCATTTTATATTGCCACCCACAAAGGAGCAGGCCTCACTGGATAACCATCTGATGAGCAGGTTTCTCAAACAGTGCCTGGATAGTGAAGCAGCCTGAGACTTAGCCCAGAGCAGGGCGAAGACTTTGAGAAATCCTGTGGAGCTTTTGTCCAGATGATCACTGCCTGCAGCTGTGCTTCCTGCAGTTAAATCTGGTGTAGTGTTAAAGGCCATTAAGAAGTAAATGACTGATTTAAAAAGATAAAACTAGTAATGTCAACAGATGAATGGATAAATAAAATGTGGTACATATGTACAAAAGAATATCATTCAGCCTTCAGAAAGAAATTCTGACATATGCTACAACATGGATGAACCATGAGGACCTTATGCGAAATGAAATAAGCCAGTCACAAAAAGACAAAAACTTTATGATTCCACTTAGAGGCAGTTAGTCAAAAGCATCTAGACCGAAAGTAGAGTGCTGGTTGTCAGGGGCTGGGGGAATAGGGAGCTGCTGTTTGAAGGGGTAAAGAGTTCCAGTTTCACCAGATGAAAAGAGGCATGGAGATCGATGGTGGCGATGGTTGCACAATGTCACAAACGTGTTTAATATCACTGAATTGTTAAAATGGTTAAGATGGTAAATTTTTTATGCTATGTGTATTTTACTGCGATAAAAATAAATAAAAAACAGAACAAAAAACAGCAGGTGGCTATAGTTTCCTGATTCCTGATCTAGAAGCTCAAATTAAAAGGGCATAGTTACTAGAAGACACTGGATATGCAAAAAATAAAAAATAAATAAATAAATAAAATAAAAGGGCATAGTTAAAGGTAAAATATTTGAAATTTAAAAGGTGATTAATCATCAAAGAACTCCCGTGAAATAACTCAGTCCTTAAAAAAGACAACAGACACAGTAAACAAGGACAGTTGCAAATGAAAATGATTTTCTAAACCTTGTGGTCAAAATTATAAAAGATAGAAACATACACTTTGAAGTCTGAGATGGAAGTAGTATAACCTATACATTTCAAACTGAGGCAACCAAAAAAGATGATTTGATGTGGCAAGGACTACTAGCAGAAGTCCTGAGACTTGAGACTCCTGGCGTCTCATGACAGCGCTCATACACTATTCAGTGTCTCTCTTGCCCTTGTTGAGTGGGAAAATGAGCCACTCTGTGACAACACAGCTGCCTGTGTTCGTGTCTCCTGCATTGATCTGTATGTAATCACCTGTTATTAATTACAACTTCCATGTCTTATGTTCCCCCATTACCATTGTATTAGGAGAGAAAGATTAAACTGAAAGAGACCCCAAGATAGCAGCTGTAGAACATATTCTTTCATGTCACAGTCCCACGGGGAAGGGTCCTGGTGGTCGGGGTGGCCCTGCTCTGTGAAAGTAGTCGGGAACTCAGGCTCCTTCCATCTTATGGCTCTGCTGTCCCCTAGGGTGCTCCCTTATCTCCTTGGTTGAAGCTGTATCATGAGTGTGGGAAGGAAAAGAGAGAGGAAAAAGCCCAAACCAAGGAAGCATCTTTTCATTACACAAGTGAGGCAGAAGTTGCATGCATCACCATCATTCACATTCCCCTGGTGAGATTCAGCTATGCGGCTATACCTATAGTAGTCACGAGTAGTAGACGCATATTTCAATGGAACAATGGATGTTGGTAGCCAACTATAGTCTCTCCCACATCGAGAAAAGTAGGGATAAAGGTTAATTAAACCCAAGTTCAAGAGAAACTTGGTTGGGTTTAAGCTAGTGATTTAAAGCAGGTAGGATTGAGGCCAAAGTATTAGAAATAAGATCTCTATCTTCAGCCTGAGTGGAGTGGCATATCACTTAGGGTTTCTTGTTGCTAAGACACGAAAAGAATTTGTTAGAGGTATCAGGTAGCTCACTGAATCCCTGGGAGGGCCAGGCAGTTGGTTTTGGAAGCTGTGTGATCAGGAAGTATGCCTAACCACATGTGGGATTGTTCTTGAGAAGGCTCCATAGCCATTGCTGGGCACAGTCACCTGAGCCCCTACTCATGACATGAGGCATTGGATACCAGTCCCACCATTGCTGTCTCTGAAATTCTGATCCCTCCACCACTACCCTTCTTGTAAGAAAACAAAGGAGCAGGGCCTGCTTCTTTAGAATTGAAGTCCTGTAGCACCCTGTACAATTAAGAGTCTTGGTCACAGGCCTGTGCCTCAGTCATAAGGGAGGCTGGAAGAGCAAGTGAATTAGTTAGCATTAAGTTCCGCTGTATATAACCAAATAATAGCAGTTGCTTAAATAGGACAGCAATTTATTTCTCATGTTAAAAAATGTCCAGAGGTAGATAATTAAGTGCAGGTAATGTTGGCTTCACAGTGACTTTAGTGACTTAGCTTCCTAACTTTATCTTCAGCATGTGGTTTCCAGTCTATCGCCTCATAGTCCAAAGTGGTTGCTAGAACCCCAACCATCACACCTCCATTCCAAACAGCAGGAGGGTAAAAGAGGAATGGGTATTCTTCCCTCCGTTTTATAATAAGGAAACTTTCTGGAAATAATATACAATATTTCTGATTACTATCATTGGCTAGAACTCAGCCATGTTGGCAATGACATTTTTTGCCTGGGAAGTAATGTGCTCAGCAGAAATGAAGATTTTGTGACAAAAGAAGATGGGGAGAATGGCTATTGGGAGTCAACTAGCAGTCTTCTACCTTGGGGGGGGTGGGACTTCAAATGTAAGATTCTAATGTATAATATAGTAATATTGGATTAAAAAAAAGAGAAGAAAATTTTCTATATTTAATTTAAAAAAAAGAGAGATTCTAATGTAAGAAGCTCCCCAGCTTATAAGAAGGGTGTTCAAAAGATGCAGAGGACAGATGCCTAACATAAACATATTCTTTTTCCATATGTATTAATACATTTCCAATTATTACTATCATAGTCACCACTATAAAATGCTCCTGCCTAACATAGTGTATAAACAAAAACATGTTCACCTTCTTTCCCCCAAAACAGGAACAACCCTAAGTGTTATCAACTACTGGATCCAGTTCTGAGTTTGGTATCTCCAGGTAATGTTCATATGGGTATTTTGAAAATGACAGATTAAAATGTAATGTCAATGACCCCCAATTCACACTATATAAAACAGTAAAAGCAATGTGAGGTGGAAAAAAGGGAAAATTAGGTGAGCCTATATAATGCAGTAGAAAACAGCCTACACTCAGATTTGCAGATATAAGCTGTTTTACATTTATTTACGATGCTTATAGAATGCCCTTCTTTGGTGACAGAATTCCGAGGAGATGTTGCTTAGTGAGCCTTTTATACTAAACATGGATATCAGCAACCTAAAGTCACTCCTTGTATTGGCTCTTGTCTCCATCCCTCTGGGGACCCCACTCAGGTTCACTGTCGTCCCAATTTATTACCTACATTTTCCTAGCATGTGTGGCATGATGAGGGAAAACTTTGTTGATGACACACACAGACAGACCAGCTGCCATTACATGCTAACTCACGACTTAGAAGCAGTGAGCCAGAGGAGTCCATCCTGATGGATTCCAGAACAACTCTTCCTGTACATTGTCACACTCCTTGTAATCAGATATGGCTTTTGCCAGTGGGCTCTACTTTGCACAGTAGCCCCAACAATACAGCCCACTAAAGCACAGTCCTGTCCGAAAGGTCCAACGGCCACCCTACATTTCTTATATTTCTTTAGTTCTCTTTGCAATCAAACATAATTTTGGAGGGAGCAGATAGGGTCTTGGTCACAGTTCAAAAAGAATATCTGTTAATATAATTGAAAATATTGTACCATCGAAGATAAAATATAGGTCTATCTAATAACTCTAATTTTCCTTCAAACTTCTAGGACAACATGAACATTATCCTGTTTGTTCTACCTCTACCCCTCTGTACCACTAAGAACACCTCCTTCTAATAACCTCGGGCTGGCTCTCTACCTTTAAGTCGGGGCACATGGCAGCACCTATTCATTTAAAATTCAAATACACACACATCCATTTAATCTTGGATTTAAGTCCTACACATGAGTCACCTGTAATTATTTCCACTGAAAACCCCACAAGAACATTAAGAGCCGATCCCTGTTA